AGTCTATTTTTCCTATGTCTCAATTCTTGTATTTTTGCTATAATTATTTCAGTAAGTTTTTGTTTGTATTCGTTATTCTCGTTATTCATTGTTTCTTTCAATATTGAATATATTTATATTCTATTTTAGATATATTATTTATTAATTGATCTAATTTGTCGTTATCAATTTTTGTGATATTGAGTTGTTTATATTCTGGATATAATTTGTTTAATTTTTTTCTTATTTTTCTTAACTTTCTACTAGTATGTCTCTTCTTATATTTCTTTTCATCCATAACTCTAATACCATTTTTTGGGAGTACGGAATTCATCAGTGCGGAATTGCTTTATTTAATTTTATTTTATTTGACCTTTTGGTAGTGTGGTAGATAGTGTGGTAGGTGAGGATTATGTTGATGCACATCCAATCATTTAACAAAACACCATCGAATATCTTGAGAAATATGAAAAAGGAATAATGAATCCTCTAAAATGCGACATATTGACCTTAAAACAAGATATATAAATTTTTCATGCAGTTCAAACCAATTTGAGAGAAGAATTAAAAATTGACGAAGAACTGACTTGAAATTAAAAGAACCAAAAGAGTAGACCGAACTTGAAACAATAAATTGGTAAGAAATTGTTTTGAAAGAAGATGAAACATTTTGTTGAGCAGAAGGTGAAAGCTAGAAGTTTATTTAAAGCATGAGTGAAATTTCTTGAGAAAAACAATTTGGCATTTGTGTTTGAAATTTTACCACGTGGAGTGAATTTGTGGACAAGTACAGTAAAATATACAATAAACTACAAAAATTAAATTAAAATAATTGTGTAAAATGACAAATATACCCTTAAAGATCTCTCTTGTATCTGGATGTCCCATTGAAAATCTCATTCTTCTCTCTTCTCCAACTTTCTCTTTTCATTCAAAGCTCCTCAACTTTCTCGATGAAGCATCAATGTGAATTAAATTTTAGAACAGTAGTTACAATGGATAACAAGGTAAGAAAATTTATGTGAATTAGTGCAGGTGAGATTCTTTTATGAAGCAAGCTCACTCACTTTTTCTGAACCTCCAAAACTATATCTAACTAAAATTTATCCCAAGAATCCTAAATTCAAAAAAAAATTAGGCGTTCTTATGAGGTTTGTCCTGGTATAATATCTTCATCAAATGCACAACCTTCATTGATATTTTGGGAACGACCCTAGATCCGAAAAGATGGGCAAATTGATGCAGACGTTTTTATGGTTATGGATATTGATTATTACAACAATGTGAATCCAAAAAAATGAAAAAAAAATAGAGTAGCAGAGGGATAATGTTCATCTTGGTCTAGAAGAACACCCCGTTGAATAAAAAAGACAACATGAAGAAAAATATACCTGGGGTATTCTTCTGTTACTTTACTACTGAAGATAAGAATTTTTTTTGGTCAAGAAAAGAGAACAAACATTGTTGGACTGATTAGGAATGGAAAATGAAAGGCCTTCTGGAGTTTCATTCTAACAGTCAAGATATAGTTACCATTTTGCCCTTATATAAAATTAAATTTGTCGAAGTGTCAGTGGTCGTCCTAGGGATGGCTTTTCTATATAGTAGTAATATCATATTTTCAATAAATTTGATCCCAAAACAAATTAGGAATGCAATTTATTAAGTTTCACATTAACTATTAACAAATATTTTAAAATTCACATCTGAAATAGGAATAAAATTTATTAGTTTCCCAAATATAAAGACCTAGGAATAGATTTTATTAAATTCCCATAGAAATTAGGAATATGATTTATTAATTTTCCAAATATAATGAACTTGTAATACAATTAATTAATTTTTCAAAATAATGAACGAAGAATACAGACTATAAATAAAAGTATGATGTCAATCAATGTCTCATTATTCAATTAACTTTTTCTCCACATTGACTCTTTCAAAGCTTCCTCCGATGACTAAGGCTGATGCCGCTGTCTCTTTATCCCACTGACAATTGTAACCAGCGACAACTTCTACAATGATGGTATACCTTCGGACCCATCGTTGCCGCTAGGAAGCTACATTGATGTTGAGTTGGATGTTAGGGTAGAGATCACCACATCAAACAACAGTGATGTACCTAATGAAGGGAAGGTGTTTGATGTAACTCGGAGTAAGTTGCAGATTAAGAGAAAGATTATCCCCATATGTCGAGTGAATCCAGATAGGCTGAAATGGTTGCCAAATAATTGGACATTTGAAACAAAAGTCCGTACCGGTGGACTCAGTGTAGGACAAAAAGATAGATATTATTTTGAACTGGTGTCCGGGAGTAAATTCAGGTCAAAGCCTCAAGTGGATGATTTCCTGAAAACAGGTCGCAAGAGGAAAAAACATGACCCTAACTGTGATGCTGCTACACCATCTGAGGGAAAAAAATAGAAGAAGAGTAGATCGAAATGGAAAAAGAAGAATGTTGATTAATTGCCTCAATTAGTGCAGTAACTAGTCAAAAGAAGTTGTTTTACTTTCTCCAGCATTTTATCCATCTTTCGTAGTTTAACTTAGTTGCTATTTTGTAGGAGTTAGTTCTTACTTGAAGTAGTTTATTCAACATGGAAACATGTGCAAGTAGTTGTTGAAATATATGCTATAGTTGTTGCATTTTTCTTGTATTTAAGCACCGTTTCAATTCAATGAAGGATTATCTTTTCAACAGCAAATATTTCTTTTCTTCGTCTTTCCTTTATTTCGGTTTTTAGAGTTTAAGTTCAGCTTTAAAACTCCAACAAAAGTGGTATCAAAGAATTCTTATTGAGGGATCTATAATTGGGGGAAACTAATTTTTCTTATTCCTTTTTTTTCATATATGTGTTCATAGACTCCTCGCATTGCACTAGCACCACCTATCTTCAAAGGTAAAGGTTGTTATGTCTGGGCATTAAGAACGGAGGCACATATGTAGGCAAATGATCTGTGGGAAGCTATTTACAAGGACTACGAAGTTCCTCCTTTGCGTGCAAATAAAGCTATGGCGTACATAAGGAATCACAAGGAAAAGAAACCAAGACAATCAAAGGCTAGAGAGATCTTATTTGTTGCTGCCTAATCTGAAATCTTTGTCAGGATTATGAAAAATAAATCAACATTTGAGATCTGGAATTTCCAAAAGAAAGAATATAAAGGAGATGAAAGGATCAATGTTATGCGGATTCTCAACCTAATAAGAGAATTTGAACTTCAAAAGATGAAAAATTTAGAGACAGCCAAAGTGTATTATGACAGAATACTCAACATTGCCAATAATATAAGATTACTTGGCCCTGAATTTCCTGATTCTAGATTGATTCAAAAGATTCTTGTAACAGTCCCGAAAAGGTTTGAAGCAACTATTTCCTCACTGAAAAATTCTAAGGATCTGTCACACATTAGTTTGGAAGAACTATCGAATTCTTTGTAGGAACAAGAAGAAAGAAGACTTGTGAGATATGAAGGGACTGTTGAGGGCGCACTACCAGCAAAATTTCAATCAAACCATGGAGACAAAGGAAAGAAGAAGTGGAACAAGAAGGAAAACTCAGGTTCTCATTCTCCTTGGGTCAATTGGGAAACAAAACACAATTTTCCTACCTGAAAGCATTATGGAATGAAGGTTCATCCACCATTCAAATACTAGCGAAGACCAAATTAGTAGTGTGAGAAATGTCAGATTATGGGACATCATCAAAAGATTTGCTAGGACAACATTCAAAAACATAATGTTGCATAGGTAGCTAATCAGAACGATGAAGAGAAACTCTTTGTAGCAACCAGTTTTGCAAGTAGCACCTCAAGTGAAAAATGGAGAGTATATTCCTGCTTAGATCGTGATCTCTTCAAGGAGTTGGATAGTTCAGTAATTTCCAAAGTACAAGTTGTCAATGGAGAGTATATTCATGCTTAAGGAAAATGTACTATGGAAATCAAAATTGCTTCAGATACAAAACTAATCAAAGACGTGTATTTTGTACCTAATATATGTCATAGTCTGTTAAGTGTTGGCTAGATGCTTAAGAATGGTTTCAAGCATCTCTTTGAAATCAACTTTTGTCAAATCAGGTATGAAGATGATAATAATCGATTCAAAGTAATGATGAAGGGAAAGAGCTTTACATTGGATTCGTTAGTGCATGAGCGAAAAACATATTCTGCAACTAAGATCAATGCAGAAGTTCAACATATATAGAAGGCTTTGACATTTATCATTACGTTGTATTGAACCTAAAGAAGAAAGATCTAGTTCATGGTTGCTTAACCTTGAAGCTGAAATATCAAATTTCAAAACATGTGGATTTTGGCAAGCAAACAAAGCATCCTTTCAACGTAACAACTTGGAGAGCTACTGAAAAACTAAAGTTAATCAATCCGCACAGATTTGGCTGGTCCTCAAAGAACTTTGTCACTCAAAGGGAGTAAGTATTATATAGTTTTCATTGATGACTATACGAGAATTCGTTGGATTTACTTTCTCAGGTTTAAGTTAAAAGTATTCTCCATCTTCTCGATATTTAAGAAGTTGATCAAAATCAAAGTGGCTTCAAGATTCAATCTTTAAGGTCCGATGATGGAAAGGAGTATACATTTGATCAATTCAATATATTGTGAAGAACTCGGGCTTGAAACACCAGCCTACTGCTCCATATACTCCACAAAAAATGGAGTTAGTGATAGGGTGAATCGTACCATAATGGAGATGGTTAGATGTTTCTTGTATGAGAAGTGTTTGCCATAAGAGTATTGGGTTGAAATTGCACATACCTTAATATCATTAGTAGGAAAGACGCCATTTCAAGTCTGGTAGGTTATAAACCTTTTTTTGAAAAATCTTAAAGTGTTTGGATGCTTGTGCTTTAATTATGTGCCAAAGACTAAAAGAGATAAGTTGGATAAAAATAAGAATCTAGAATATTTGTGGGTTACAACATTGTTTCGAAGGCTTACAGGGTTTACAAACCTCCTACAAGGAATATCCTGATAAGTGATAAGTAGAGAAGTGCATTTCATGAAAGATGAACGATGGAACTGGAGAGAAGCAAAAACAACATTAATTCCAGATCAAAGTACAATTCTCTAGCTGAAAGATGATGAATTGGTGGATGATGTCCCAGTAAGAGGCACAAGATCTCTCTCTGAAATCTATCAGAGATGCAATATGGTTGTCCTTGAGCCAACAAATTTTCGGGAAGCAGAAAAAGATCCAAATGGAGAGTTCCAATAAAGTAGGCATTCACCATGATTAAGAAAAAACCGACCTGGAAACTTGTGAAAAGACTTGAAGAGAAGAAAGCCATAGGAATGAAGTGGATTTTCATAACCAAGTTGAATGCAAATGATTCTATCTACAAGCACAAAGCCAGACTTGTTGTAAAGGGTATGCTCAAATTTTTGGTCTTGATTTTTCTCATACATTTGCTCCTTTTGCTAGATTAGAAACCTCCATATTATTATTGGCTATAGATGCACAAAAGGGTTGGAAAGTGTTTCAATTGGAGGTTAAATTTGCATACTTGAATGGCTTTCTTGAGGATGAAATTTGTGTTGAGCAACCTGAAGGATTTGCAATCAAAGGGCATGTATCAGCTCAAAGAATCTTTGTATGGACTAAAGTAGGTTCCCATAGCTTGGTACAACAGGATTGATGAGCAGGTGCAGTTGGGATTTGGAAATGCCTTAGTGAAGTTACTCTATTCATTAAAGGTGATGAAATTAATTTTATTGTTATCTCACTCTATGTAGATTATATACTAGTTACGGGAAGAAATTATGAACTTGTTAAGAAATTTAAAGAAGCTAAGCAACAAACTTTTGAGATGACATATTTGGGAGAAATGGTGTATTTTTTTGGGAATGGACATCAAGCAAGGACAAAATGAAGTGTTCATCTGTCAAAAAAAGTATGCAAAAGACATTTTGAAAAAGTTCAGAATGGAAAATTGCAAAAAGACAACTACTCTAATGTGTCAGAAGGAGAAGTTAAGCAAAAATGATGAAGCTGAAAAAATGGATGAGACTTTTTACCGGTGTTTGGTTAGATGTAGCAACTTCCACTCATTTTAGAGCATCTAATAGGATGATAAGATATGTTATGGAAAATTTGAATTTTTGAATCAAATTCTCTGCAAATTAGAAGTACGTGTTGCAGGGGTATTCCGATAGTGACTAGGGTGGTTCTTCCTATGACATGAAGAGCACTTCTAGCTATTGTTTTAATATTGTTTCAAGTGTATTTTCTTGATGTTCTAAAAGGCAAGATATTTATGCGCAATCTACAGTTGAAGCTGAACATTTCAGCAAAAACAGTTGCTGCAAAACAAATTAATATTTCTTGGAGATGCATAGAAAGAAGTATTTTTTGGGTTAATGTATTGCAGGGGTTTGTAGTTTGTATTATGTTGGTGATTAGAATTCATGCCTTACCCGTATTTTAAGTCAATTTTTGAGGAATCGAGCATGCCTACTTAGTTGAATTGGTTTTTTAATGCCTTGTTGTATATGTATTGTTGCTAATACTGTGTTAATAGCTTGTTCTTGGCCTTAGCCTTAGTGTAGGCTAGTGACTACCTTAGACTCATATTTTAGAGCCAAAAGGCCTTCAAGATTCTTCGACGTTGCTTCGGAGGACTTAGCTCCTTGTAGACTGATATAGCATACTTGGGCCTGATAGTATGATTTCTTAGCTAGGTGACAGTTCAGCGCTTATGACCGTTCATCCATAATTTCCCTTTTGTTTCAACCTAAATGTGTTCTTTGGCAATATCGAGCCTTGTAGGATATATTGATCGGGTCTTGGGTTTTAGAGATGGAGTGGGTCCCTGGTGACTCTTAAGATAGTTTTACTCTAGGGTGTGGTCGAGAATAAGGAAGAGCGGGTGATTTGGAGACATTCGGAATCTATTATCCATGATTTGAGGTCCCTGCATGTCACGCCCCGAACTACCCCCGAGACGCGGACACGGGACCTAGAACCACAAGTGATCCCAAGCTAACCTTGTTGGCATGATCACGAGCATACTAAAGATAATAAACTGATACGGAAGTTAAATCATAAATAAAAAGAAAAGATGGGGAATACCTATATACTATAACAAAGATAAATGAAAACTGATGAGTTTAATACAAAGAAGATATTAACTCAATACAAAGCTGAATCTAACTATGCTTGAAAATAGCTTCTAACTGACTAGAAATGTTGGGACATTCCCCAACTAAGTCTAGCAAAACTGAAACTAAAGGACTAAAAATACTGAAAAGAAAATCATGACTATTGTCCTCCGAGAATGAGGACTCACCATTGATTCTACTGACTGAAGATCGGGAACTGATCTAACCGTAATCTGGATGCTGAGAACCTGAACCTACATCACGAGAAGATGTAGCGCATGTATGCGTCAGTACTTGAAAGG